CTTCCAAATGCTCCACCATCTTATGTGAACTCATACTGGGAAGAGATTGCCGCCTCTTTGCATAGTGCTGGGAATTTTGCCTGTAGCACGACCAGACCAGGCGCACTCAAGCACTGGATATCAGACCGAACGGTGGCACTACTTAAATCTCGAAGAAATATCCCAGCCGGTCCCGAACATAATCCGGTGTGAAGAGCTATCAGACGTCAAGTGAAAGTGGGTTTGCGACTTGACCGTGAAGTATGGTGGACACAGTAAGCCAAAGAAATGGAGGAGGCCCAGAAAGCCGGTAATGCCCGAAGATTATTTAGTTGATCCGTTGCGACCGGTCCCCGGAGAAGGTTTACGACTGCATATGTTCTCTCAAGCGCCACCGAGCTCCCGGTCCGGATGACCTTCCACCCGCACTGTTCAAAGACGGGGGTGAAGTCCTCAGTCAGTTCCGATCCGATCTGTTTGCTTGCATTTGGGAAAAGGAGTCTGTCCCAGACAAATGGGTTTTCAAATAAATCATGGTTGTGCGGCAGTATCGGTGTTGTGTTGAACACTGATGTCATGCTGTTGATGATGATGATGATGATGAAATGAGACGGAGCACCAAAATGGGACATTCATCGGCACAGCAACCTCCAGGTGTGAAGTTATCCACCGTACGGAGTAGGACAGATAACATGACTAAAGCCTATTCGCACGAATGAAATCGTTTTTGGCAAAATTGACAGTTTTGGATTGCCAGCCCGTTTATTCAACGGAACAAACCACAGCCGATCGAATGGTTCATGGGCATCACAACCGATGGGATTACATCAATGTTGAACAACCAGATTCGTTCCAACCGGATCCAACAACCAACTCACCGTAATGTAGCGCTCGAGAAATTGCATCAGTCCCAAACGGTTGTTGATGAACACTTTGAGAAAATGATGAACATTAATGCGAGAGGCGTCTGCAGGGCAGAGAATACGAGAGAGAGAAAAAAAGAGTATCAGGCGCTTGCGTACGAGACAGGAATATTAGGTGGAAGCAATGATGTCTCCCAAAATCAGTAACTCAAAAAGGTAGACACGCATTTCGCAGACCCTGAATCTGTAAGTGTCCCTCCCTGCAAAGACCAGCCCCGTAGTTGTTGGCACATGGATTTCCAAGCTTCTCGATCGAAAGAATGGTATGTAGCCTATTGTTGTCACTTTCCACTTGAGCACACCAAAAAGCATTGATGTCAGTGGAGTCGAGTTAAGAGGGACCGCATCGAACAGCGGCTAAACAAGACCGCGTCGCTTAATGTGGGTGGAGCAACGTACTACAAGGGGCCTTTCGTCAACCATAATTTGACATTGTCGCTGAAATTAGTGAGCTTATCCATCCAAACGTAAAATAATGTTAATAACATCGGAAAAAACAGGGCAACAAATTGGTCATTGTCCGAAATGAGTACAGAACGCCGGTATCCGGAGGACGGCGAGTCAACTCTAAACGCGTGGAATACTAAGGACAAAAGCTTCGATTTTCTAAAGCGACCGACAACTAGGCGCTTACCGGGTTGAGAACATAGTCTGTCCAGTAGCTGAAGGGTCTCCGTTGGTAGCCGGTCCATCAGAATGTGACCATAGTTGCATATCGCTCGCAGCGCCTGATTCGGATGGTACAAACGGGATTGAATAGGGTGGGGGCACAATTATCAAACCGGTATATGAACTACCTATTCAGGCCATATTAGATGCGGTTAACGAAGGAAATACAACTATTACTGACCATAAGGCCTGCATGAATAGAGCTACTAATCGAGTTATCGCATTCATCTTGTGAAGAAATGGTGGTAGTGAAATCTTGCATCGTACGATACTACTTATAAGAATGGTGAAGACTTTTGAATAGTTTACACGTGGGCCAGTAGAATAAGAATCTTGAGTCAAGTACAAAAGAAAGCGCTCTGGAATAGGCGTAAATCAATGGAACCTGGTAGAATAAAACCAAATGCAGTATAGATCTAGTCACCGGGTTCATCAAAGCTGATTTTCCCCGTAGTTTTATCACACTGTGCACCAAGCATCGGCACTGAAGAACATCACTATCGCGATGAATACGAGGAAATACATGGCAGTTCCAGTAACCGCCGCACGCACTTGACCTTTGAACCGTTAATGAATGCCTTCTAAACGATGATAAACGCAAAAAAGCAATCAGTAGGATACTAACAGCATGGGACTTAATTGTGTTACGAGGCGGAGAGGATGGAGAACGGTGAATCAGTTGACTGTAGAAAAGGAGAACAGTAAAGCAGAGTCAGAACGATAAGAGAGTAAAAACCAAAATCGGGGTTGAGAAACACACCTCATCAAATGGAAATTGTGCAATTTCTTCCAATGCTGCGGCACAATTATCCATATCTTCAATGAGTATACCGATACGATCTGCGAAACGCCCAGACAGCTGCGCCAGTCGCAAAGCTGCGTCAGGAAAGTTGGCTTGACGAAGAACGTGAACTGCGGCAGGGACGTTCATTTGGGGGTTGATTGGTTTCTGTAGCGAGGGATTTCAAAGTGATTAGAAATTGCTTAGAAACGAAATGAGGATGTCAGCCTTGGGATCTCAAAGCAGCCATCGTCGTAGTAACAGTGAACCAGTAATCCGGATTCAGGGGATTTCCTCCTGTCAAAGGAGATGTGGATAAAAACTACTACCTAGGTACGCCTGCTGACGACAGCAGGGTGGCGCTCGATCTACTCAACCCTCAACCGCACCCAGTGGCTGATGATATCGCTTGATGTGTTCAACTCAAACATTTGATTTGCACATGGTACATATGCAGATGAGGTTTGACGTAGCTTCTCCGGAAACATGACAGTTTGTGGAGCCTGTTAAACAGAAGATGTTAACTGAATGTGAATGGATGGTCATTCCAGCGTAGCGATGTCTCAGAGTGTGACTAACATGCTACACACAGAAACTGAGAGGAATGAAATAGAACCAAATAGTCAAAGCCAAGACGGGAGCGAATGAAGAAATAAAGCATGAGGATCAAGAACCCCACAGCCAGTAGCTCGTGGAGCGTCTCTGCATTAGATTCACTTAGAAGCATGTGTTGCATGCTGTATTGCGGGGAATTCGAAGATACGTCCCAATCTTATTGGAGCTCGGCGTTTGCTGGTCACTAGTTTCCCAGTTGTCCACCTTGTAGGTTACTCAGACTAGCTCGGTAGCTAAAACTTAACCCGTTAGTTGAGGTGTAGTTAGAAAATCGTTCAGCCGTAGCACCCTTTTAGTGTCTAGTTGTCATGGCACCTGAAGGAAGCACGAGGGCTAGGATACTGCCAGGTTGCCCAAGCTTAGACAGGGGAAATCGAGAGGCAAAGGTCGGGTTCGAACCACGGACCATCCGGTTAGTAAATCTGCGCTCCAACCACTGAGCCATCTCACTGTAGTTCGCAAGTGGTTGTTCAAAATTAGGGGATTCAGCATCAGGAAAGTTATCTCTACAGTCCTCCGAGGGCTAAAGTCAAGAGGCTGGATAAGAGACACTAGCAATAGATGAATTACTCCATGATAGGCTGTCTTGTATATGCGACCAGTAGACAGACATAGACGAGAGTTCAACGAGCACGAGATGGCTCACTGGTTGAGGCGCGAAGTTACTAATTGGAAGGTCTCTGGTTCGAATCCAACTTCCCCATCTCGGGTGTTCCTGTGTGAGCTTCGGCAACCCGACAGTATCTCAGCCTTCGGACTTCTTTCGGGTAGCTAGGCACCGAAAGGGTGGTAAAAGCCGAACTAGACGCCTGTGTAAAGTCGCCATAGTGCACATAGAACGCACAGCTCCCATGAAACTCGAAGGAAGCAGGAAGGCATAGAAAATTCCACCCCACCTAAGCCGCAGAAGTCCCGGCCAGTCTCTCGTGTCTCTGACTTTGAGCTAACTAGTCTATCTTACAAGCCAGTTATCATGTGCGGCGAGAAATGTGAATAGGAGGGAGAGAAAACCGCTTGTGAAAGGTGTCATCAATTAAAACAACCGGATGCCCTTGCTTTCACCAAAATCGGAAAATATTGTTCCCTATTTTGGTGAGATCGACCGTCATTTCAAGTGCCGTTTCACTTGCCTGTAAAAAATCGTTGATTCTGGTTTTGTCCTGAAGGCGGGCGTAACAATTGAGCAGCAGGATAAGGTGATCGCTCGACGCCAGATTGGCCGCATTCAATGCTTCAAGGTAGCAGGCCAGTTGGGCAACGTGACCACCTTCTAGGAACTGTGTTCATGGAATAAGATTGGGGAAAGCTGGTAAGATATGTGAAAATGGACAAGTCGAGAGAGCTTTAGGACGAGGTCTAAGGAGTCCAGAATACGATACAACTGGAGTAAGATGCTATTCTGTGTTTGATTCAATTAGCACCCAAGCAAGTAAAGTATCGGAACAACACGAGCAAAGAGGGGATTTGGCCCCTTCTGGAGGGAGTGATTAGCATAGAAAGTCGTTCTCCCTTACCAGAATTGATTTCTGAAATGCGTACTACTGATGACAGTTCTTATCATAGGTTAACTCAGGCAGACAGATGGAGATTCAAACCAGAAATTTCGAAACATCGTAAAATATTGTGGGCATCGAAAAGCGATGTGCTTAGTTTAAGGTGTTGTTTAATGGTAAAATAGCTTGAGAGAGATAGGCTGCAGAAAAAAAGACGTAGGTTAATTCGCAAGGAGCCGAAATGAATAACACAGGGAAGAAAGTATGCCACCACTACTCACCCTTTGAATAACAAAGGAAGCCTCGAGGATACCTATGGTCTTCACATACTCTTTGATGGCGCCATCATAATCCTTTTGTCTGGAATGCAAAGCAAAAGGTTAGAATTTGACACTGGAAATGACCCGGTTAACTGACAAGCAGCCATGTACAAATATGCAGATGTATGAAGGGAGAAAAAGCGCCTCGGTGTTATCTGAGGATAAGCAAAGAAGGTGGGCTTCTCTCTGAGCGTGGTAGCCTACAAATACCTTAGGAACCATCACTGATAGTAAATCCTTGAAGGCTTTACCACTCCATCTTTCTCCGCTTATCTCCACTTCTTGGTTAGATGGCTGGAACCGGCTGGAACTCTTTCACTCATCTAATAATAATAATAATAATAATAATAATAATAATAATAATAATAATAATAATAATAATAATAATAATAATAATAATAATAATAATAATAATAATAATAATAATAATAATAATAATAATAATAATAATAATAATAATAATAATAATAATAATAATAATAATAATAATAATAATAATAATAATAATAATAATAATAATAATAATAATAATAATAATAATAATAATAATAATAATAATAATAATAATAATAATAATAATAATAATAATAATAATAATAATAATAATAATAATAATAATAATAATAATAATAATAATAATAATAATAATAATAATAATAATAATAATAATAATAATAATAATAATAATAATAATAATAATAATAATAATAATAATAATAATAATAATAATAATAATAATAATAATAATAATAATAATAATAATAATAATAATAATAATAATAATAATAATAATAATAATAATAATAATAATAATATAACACTAACGATTCAGCTGTATCACCCTTTCGGAGCTTAGCTGCCACCATGCCACCGAACGAAGCACGGGCACCGGGAAACTGCCAGGTTGCCCAAGCCTACACAGGGGCAGGGTTCGAACCACGGACTTGTCGATCAGTAAGTGTGCGCCTTAACCAATGAGCCATCTCGAGCTAGTTCGTGAAACCACAAAAGATCGTGAGACCACTCACAGATCGATAGTAGTTGGGAATTCGGGCATGGATGCAAGCACTCAGAAATGGATGGGAATATCTTGAGTATGGACCCAAGTACACACGATGCAACCGGTCACATATGGTGATGTATTGTTTACATCGTTCGGCTAACTGATGGTTTCAGTGGACTCCAGCACCTTATTATCCTCAGGTTTGGTATAGTTCCAGAAGATACACAAACCGGACATGGGCGAGCCTATGGTCGTTTCAGGGATCCTGCGTTTTGCGCTACTCAAACGTCGTAAGTAGCATAACGAACAACGTTAAGAAACAAGTTCACAAATGAGAACGAATGCGGTCTCTGAAAGCATAAGGTGTGCACAGAAGGGTAAAAGCCGCTGGGGCTATGCCAGGTCACACATGAATGGTCGAAAAGGCTGGGCATGATCTGAACCATGAACTGTCCGGTTAGCGTTCCACTGCTGGGCGTTAGGTGAGAGAGCGCACCAGTTCCAGGTCCAACAAATAACCACCAGGTTTCACCTCCATACATTGCTTCGGGTTCCTTGAATGACGAGTGAACCAGACAGCTGAGCACCAGCGAATACGGCAGTCATAACACTTAACAATCTAGCTACTGTGCAATTAAAGAGGTAGAACTAATGATTGATTCCAAACCGACAAGCGAGGACGTTAACGATCTGGCACCATTTCTAAACGAAGTGTTGTCTAGCCAAGATGGGGTCACGTGAAGAATCAGTTTCACCGGAAAATCAGAACGAATCAACAGAAGTCGAGCGTTCAGTCACTCGGTCCGTTTGAAACAAAATTAACCAACTAAGGTTGCGCGAAACAGCACCAAGTTATTGCAGGCCCGACTATCGGCTTAGGCGGGAGGCGAGTTTTGAGGTCAAGAAGGTGGAATATGACCAAAAGGCAATCAACTCCTCACCTAACGGTCCCGAAAGAATCAGCAAGAACCCTGTCCGACCGATTCATATAGAAGTGCTGTGAACCGTCAATAAAAATGCGCAAATACTGTATGAAAAGAGGACAGGTGAAATGGAGATTTACTTACTTGTAGAGGTGATCAGCATAACACCCGAATATACGTGCTAGTTCTTCCTTTTCAAAGTGTTGCGACTTCGCAATGCTGGATAAGATGGTTGGATAGTAAAAAACAGTGTGAGCATGCATAAAATCATTTTTAGTAGGTACCTCCGCCGCCCAACATAATCGATCAAATGCAGTAAGACTAACTTAAGTGTTACGCAAATAGACCAGTCCGTTTATCAGCTGGATCAGTTAAACTCATCACAAGCTTGATCTGGCGAGCAATAGTGAAGTCTTGGACAGGAAAAGGACTCGAGACTTTTGGGATCATCAACCTAAGCTAGTCCAGGGTAACTTGAGTCTATCACGCAAAACCACGAATCAGTTGCCTACGGGCTGTATTGAGAAGGGACACACCAAAACTAAATGGCCATCTGTTTGAACGGAAGTAAGTTTGGAAGTGCGGCCTGGAAACATCACAAACAAAGGACTCAACTGGGCTCCAGGTGAGTCTCTCACAAAACCAAATTCGTTTGCAAATGAGTGTATTTCGCTAATTTCGTGCAATTTGTTTTCAAGTCGAACATAAAGTTGACGGAAACCTTGGGACTGCGCCAACCTGATGAGCCCCAAGAAGGGCGAAACCGGTCGTGGACTGTCGAAGAAGTTTCAGTAACCTTATGAGTAGTGCATTACGAATATAGAAGTTTGGTTACACCTCTCCTCACATTATAACCCGTGTTCGTGTCAACAGTTCAGCAGAAGCGATGAGGCTTTTGAGATAAACCCAAGATTGCAGTAGCGTAGCCCACCAAGTTGACATGTTCGAAACTTACTCAATAGCCATTTGAAAGTTCTTCTTTGAAAACAGCATTTCCAACTTTGCATGGGTACTCTTTTCTGCCAGCCCGATCAACTACAATGAGAGGAATAGAGAACACGGATAGAACAAATACGCAAGCAATTTGTCACCCATGGTTTACTTTTCAACCTAAACATCCCTGATAGTATTATCCGCGTTGCAGAGGACGTACTGGAGAAAAAATAAACTCCGCTTGTAATTGCAAAAGTCCCACGATACACAACAACTGGGAGGTAATTTCAACAAATACTACTCGTTGTTTCCCGAAACCGTGTACAGTTTCATCTTGATTAAAGCCAACAAGACAATGTTCTATCGACATTTGCAGCCGCATTAGTCCTATGGATCATGAATGTACCTTTGAGGTAAAATAGTTTTCATAAAGGGGGCCTAACACCATTTTTGTGATAATTTGAGCCTAGGATGTCAGTCTGTCGGGGTAAGGTAGGGTAATGAAATAAGATTGTCCATCCGTGGAGCGTTCCGACATATGGGTACCAAGCAACTCTAGGGAAGGAAGCATGTGGATCGGAAGGAGTTCCACCCAAGCAGTCGGACGAAGCTAGAGCCTTTTAAATTGCTCGTATTTCGATTTAACTCTGCACTACTTGATAAATGTAAGTAGCGCACATTAAACCGACTTTGTTGCTTAACGGCTCCTTGGTCACCGATCATGTGTTGGTTTGCTTACCTGTCAACGAAATTTTACTAAATATGTACTGGATTGCCAGTGTACGTCATATGCGTTTCTTCCTACGGTACTGAATATTGACTTACGCAGATCATAACGTCCAGTGCTTCCTACCACTCGGACCGACTGAAGTCACGCTCTGCTTGGAAGTATATCTTCTTGGGCGAGGGACAGAGCTCTACCTTGTAATGAAACTTCCTCACTTTGTTTCACTTGATGTGGATATACTAAACAAATAGATGCAATTTGACCGTCCAACCACGAATAAAACGCGATAATAATTTCGACCGCTTAGAAGTAAATCTATCGGCTTTGCACCAATGGCTTAGCTCCACACCACCCACTGGATAATGTAGGGAAGATATCTGGCGAATAAAGGAACAAAAACTGTCCAATACGCCCTGCAAAAAGCAATCGATTAAGTCAATGTCGCTTTTGATGCCAACTATTGGGTGATCCTCGTTTCCAAACTTTTCAACGTAACTGACGTCATCTCAAAGAAAAATTTATTAGAGTATATTCTAAAAGTATTGACCGAAAGTAGCATATTCGACCAAGCCTAAATTCACAAAAAAAAGACTGATAAGTCCCTTGACAAGGATTTTCCTTGTGTTATTCACTGAAATGTCTCCTTAGGCTTCTTCAAGCCAGAAACTTTCGTTCAATATGGTTACTTGGTAAGCAAAAACAATACTGTCAAACCTTTCCCAGCAATTCTGTACAAATTCTTCATCGCACTTACTATTGTTCCCGAAAAGTCGCCTACTTTCGGTTAAGTTCATGAACTGAATGAATCCAGTGCCCGGTGGTTGGACTTCGGAATTGATAATGAGAGCCGAGGACTGTAGGTTGGCTTGCCTCGACTTGATATGCGAATAACTTCGGCAATTACCAACAAAAATAAACACCTTTTGTTCGATCATTCCAACCAACGGTGTCAAGTTTGAAAAATGTCTTCAGTAGTCTATGCACTTCTACCTGCTTCGCATCGGAACAACTCAACTGTGTGGATTAGCTCTCAAGGTACTACGACAGACGAAGTAAACGCCCGCATCTCACGGTCGAGAATTGATTTACCCATTTTGCACCGTATGTTGCGCCAAAAAGGCATATCAGTGGGTTTCGAAAGGCGTTGCTTCGCATCGGAACAACTCAACTGTGTGAATTAGCTCTCAAGGTACTACGGCAGACGAAGTAAACGCCCGCATCTCACAGGCAAGAATTGATTTAGCCATTTTGCACCGTATGTTGCACCAAAAAGGCATATCAGTGGGTTTCGAAGGGCGCGTATGCCAGACTAAAGTACGGACTTTATTGTTGTACGGTTGCAAGGCTTGGCTAATTCAGATGGCGGATCTGAGAGATCTTCAGACCACTGATGTTTCAGAACTGTAGCTGGAATCGGCTGGGACCAGCGAATTCGCGTTGAGACGATCATGATACCGGTTTTTGAAATAGAGGGTATTTCTTTCAATCATGAACTCAGCATTGCAGGCCCAGGTGGCTGGGTCATGTGTTACGCATGCTGAGTTATCGCCTGTTGAGACTAGCGTTGTTTTCCGTGGAAACCTAGAGGTAGACAGAATTTGACAAGAAGGGAATAAAGGATGTTAGGTAGTCTAGGTGTTGTTCGGTTTCCAGAATGGGTCGGGTCCACGTGACCCACCATGCTTGGCTGGAGGCACTGACTGATATGACTGCTAACCGATACCAACGAAGTCCGTGCTATTAGTTTCCATCCATCCAGGCTGACTGAGCGTCGGTACGTACCTCGGATGTTTGTGGAGGTACCCCTCCCCGTTCCAATTTTTCTTCTATCCATTATAAGGCTTTATTTGAGTGAACTGATATGGTTGCATGGCAACGAAGCATCAATTTTCACATCTGGTGTTGCTGTCACGCACGCAGCTGTAAAATAGAAGCAAGAACTCCCGGTATTTACTGTTCAAGAACATGGCTACGCTCCCGATAATGTCGTATACCTGGGTTCTACTGACTTTACAACTGACGACTACAGAACCAGTTGTTCGTTCTTGGTTTTCCCAATTCAGTAGCTCAGCTCTTCCCGTATAGAGAGAAATCTATTATGGCTAGCATTGAATTGAGAGTCGTGTTGCGTGAGGTCCGGGGAACAGGGTGGAAACAACGATGTATGTGAATGTGGACAAACACGCGTTGTTGTTTTCATAAAGGAAACTACCCATAAGGTTGCTGAAAACTCTTCGACAGCCCACGACCGGTTTCGCCCTTCTTGGGGCTCATCAGGTAGGCGCGGCCCCCGACTTTCCGTCAATCTTATGCGTTGCTGTTGTCCACACCACATACAGTCAAGGTTGGTGTTGATCAGGGCCCGTCACTGCATGAAACAAAATCTTTCCGACTGATCTCAATCTCATCCAGGCGCGGATTCGAGGGCATTGGTTGGCGTGCCTCTGTCCGACGGCTTGCCCGGCCTCGTTAGATGTTGGTGTGTGTGGTAAATAGCCCTTCAGTAGAGCGAACTCACCACACTCATCCTAAAGAGATGTTCTTCTCGGGGCCTCTCTCGTTGGAGGCCGCAATGTACAGAATACTGCCAGAAACAATTCAGTTGGAAGTGTGGAGGCAAAATCAGCGCGGAATGATGTGCCAGAACAGCACGACCCACACTTCGTAGGCTGTCGTTCAGCTGTGACACACTTTCAGCGCCTAACTGCTATGCTATCCGAAGGAAACAGGAGGGCTCGGATGCTGTCGGGCTATCCAGGTCTGAGGCTGTGTTCCATCCACAGACCGTCAGGTTGGAAAGTTAGCGCTTTAACCATTGAGCTATTCCCGGTTCAACAGTGAACTCGTAGAAATCATCGTCATCGACTTCACTTCGTCATTCAGCTGTAGCACACTTTCGATGCCTAGCTGCCATGCCACCCAAAGGAAGAACGAGGGCCGGGATACAGTCAGGTTGCCCAAGCCTAGACAGTGGAAGTCGAGAGGCAGAGGTCGGGTTCGAACCACGGACCCTCCGGTCAGTAAATTCGAGCTTTAACCACTGAGCTATCTTGCCTCGATTTCACTTCGGTGGTTCACGGTACACCAAAACCATCTTAATGATTGGAGAAGGGGGTTTCTAAAACCACACCGACTCACATAGTGTCGTCATTTTTTGCTGATTCGAAGACGAAAGTGATTTAATTAGCTAAGGTACTCTTCAGCAGATCCCTCTGAGTGACGTGACAAAGAACAAACTGTATTCACGAGTAGCTAACAAGAGAACATTCTGCATACACAGAACAACAGAAAGGAGAGCAGATGAAGTGAACGAGAGATTTTTTATCACTTACCGTATGCCTGAGTGCACCTTCAGTGTTCCGCTCCAAACACAGAAGATAGATCCCGTCCCACTCGATAAACATGGAAAGCACGCCCTGGATCGAGAATTCACCGGCGATGAACTTGTTTTGTTGATCATGAATTGTCAGAGTAACGGATGATTCCAATGGCAAGCTGTCCGCAGTTGACAGTGGTCCGGTGTGGGACAGATAGAGACCACTGAAGTAGGCAAGTAGGAACAGGGTTTCACAAAGAGTGACTAACAAATCCGAAAGCAATGGAGAAGATTTGTTTTTGCTGAACAGAGTAAAAGCTTGAACTGGCAGGCCATTAGTGAGAGGGGAATATGGATTTTTACATATGATCTGTTACCGATACATCATATGCTATCCCCACAAAAATTAATAACTTCAAAAGGCCACAAAAATGAATACTTGGGTGCCCCATGGGCATCATTCGTCCCCAAAACTTCGGATCTTTTCCAGATAAGCCCCGCCAAAAAGATTAGAAAAAAGAGTATCTGAAATTCGTACTTTTCGTTTTTATTGAAGAGGGTGAAATCGGGACACGTCATAAATAATTTGCATGAAAAGGTCCGTTTTTCGGTACCTTTGCCTCCAAACGAACTCACACAAGTAGCTGTCCAGTGTGTGGAGTTTATTCTGCATCTTGTATACGTGCCAAAGAGATTCGATAATTTGTGTGCAAGCTCCAGTCGTTGGATCCACAAAGTTTTCGGTATGACTAACCGTTTCATGAGTATGATTCATGTCAATCATCGTTTCAATTCCTTGGTATGATGCCCACATATCGGAGATGATGATTGAGCCGGGAGCGACGCAGGCCTGGATTGTGTCCATCAGAGTGGCCGAAGTTCGATCCGGCACTGCATACATGAACGGCTCTTCAGCTTCCCGGCAGATCCTTCCGAATATCCACTGCTGTGGAACGACTCGCCCTGCGTGGTTTTCACGGCAAGATATTGGCGTTTCATCGATCTCGACGTGTAGACCTGGGCCGCCAATAACTGTTAGAGTCTGCGAAGGAAGTTCTTCCAGTCAACAGCGGTCGTGTGGCTAATAGATAATTCCTCTGAGCAGAATTTGATTTTAGCCAAATTTTTAGACCAGTAATAAATGAATAGAATTGCTGTCCTACACTCCATCCCAGATCGCTCCAGCCAAGTTCCCTTTCGAAGACTGATTTCTTGCCGACACTGTCGGGCATTACACCTCCACCTGTCAAAAACAGTTGAGTGTCGTTTGGTGGCCATTGTTGCATAAACGTTGCTGGTGGATCACTCGGTGGCTTTTTCAAAAAACGTATTGCCGTCTCCTTGTCATGAACGAGGGTTGAAAGCGTTAGAAAGTTCATTTTAGGTTTTACGTCCGAACGGAGAGAATTTTTGCACAAAATGAGCCTAGATGTGGACATGGAACTATTTTCATCAAAAATAGGTCAAGGTTGTGTGTGTGCATTAAATTGGAGATGGCAAAAAGTGGCGGGGCACAACTTTTCGCACATGCACTTTTTGCATTAGCGGCGGGGTTTATCTAGAAAAAATCCACCTCGTGTACTGGACAAAAATAATAATAATCGTTCAGCAGTAACACCATTTCGGTGCATAGTTGCCATGCCAACGGAAGGACACCTGAGGACTGCAAAACCGCCAAGTTGCCCAAGCCTAGACGGGAGCAGTCGGGATGCTGAGGTTGGGTTCGAACCACGAGCATTCCGGTCAATAAGCTGGCGTCTTAACCACTGAGTCATCTCGTGTACTACATCTTTTTCTATAGTTGTCTCACCCCGAGAGGCCAACAAAGTGCTTGCTTCTGAGAGAGAATTCGCCATACATCCACAGAAATCATGGTGATGTTTGATAGGCTCTTAGCATGCTCGCAGCGCGCGGAAGCCTAATGTTTGTTTTTTCGAATTACGGGTTGTTATAGGTCTGTACCAACAATGCCATTGCAGCATTATAGAGCCGACCACAAGAACTCTGAGCTCAGTAATGAGGTTAGTGAGCTCACCAAACTCAAAGATGTATACGAACCCATCACGCGCAAGGAGGAGAATTCTCGGTTTACAACGGTGAACACCTTTAGGCATCATAAAACTGACTTTCCTAAAAAGAGGTTCTTGCACAGACCGAAAATGAACTTTTACATCAGTCGCCTTAATAAGTTACATAAATTGAAGTTGCAGTACGTCCCGATGTCCCAATGGTATGCTAAGGTAGCTACCCTCTCTCAAGAAGGGATGTCCCCTAATTAAGACTACTTGGACTATTCCCCGTATGTGACCTTTGTGGTGCTACTCCCCTCCCAAGATGTGAACCGCGTGATCCTCAGTGCGCCTCGTTGGAGACGCTGGAAGATATGGCTGCCAATCGATGTCAGTGGCGATCTTGTTGTCAGTTTCTATCCAGATTGCCTGAATGAGTGTCTGGAGGTGTAGGCACCTCGGAATGATTGCGGTAAGCTAGCACTAAGTCCCTTCCCCGTCCACCTTTATTTTTCTCTTCACAATAAGGCTTTCAAATAAATCATGGCTGTACGACAGCGAAGCATCGGTGTCATGCTGTCGATGATGATGATGTGGCCTTTGTTTGGTATGGGTTGATGACACGCTAGCGAAATACTGCATACCACACTTTCGAGTGTAACAGAAATCCATGAAATCAACGAATCTGCTATGAGCTGATCAGGGAACGGGTGTTTGGTGAGCAAACACGTACTGCACCTTGAGTACTTGTTACAATCTATCGGTTGACCGAACCGATGCTACGCGTACGAAATCAACGTCTAGAACGAAGTGTTGCTTTCGATTTCTGATTTGGGGTGGTGGAAACCTAGAGGTAGATAAAAGATGATAGGGTAGAATCGGATGAAGGAAATTAGGCGATCCGTGTTCTACGATGGTATCCACGTGTTTCGAGAGACAACAACGGATATGGGGGCTAAACGATGTTGGTGGAGTTCAGGCTATCTGACAAACTATTGGAATTGCAGGCGCCATGTGGATAGCGCCAGCTTTCGTCCTCTTCCATCTACCTTCTTTCTGTTGTGAAGTACTCCTTAAATAAAGCGACACGGTTCTGCGACATTGAATAACTGGTGTTTTGCACTAGTGTTGATGACAAATTCAGAGGAAGATATCCCAAATACTGCTAGGCAGACAATGGCTAGCGCATATTCCTATCGGGTTAAGGGAGCACTCGGCTAGAAAGTTCCGAGAGAATACTTGGCTTTCCCTTATAAGCGGACTTGGATGATATTGTTGTTCAGCCGGACAAAACCATCAAAAGGCCAATGGAGGACACAAGACGCAATGGGAATCAAGCCCAAGTAGACTACCGTTGGCGAAGCAGTCATAGACGATGTTCCCTGGAGAGGGGAAACTCTCAGCAGGACAGTTGACCGAGGAAACAACAGAGAGAACATTAAACAAAGACAGCATTTCCTCAGCTACTTAGAGCCAGTGAGCAAGACAACTCGAATTAAGGTTTCATCATGTTTAACTAAGACACCCGACAACACAGGCGCTTCATTCTCGTACGAACTTCAAATCAGTAGACGCCTATAAGTCCATCGCTTTGGTGTCAATTGCGAACGCCACCTTGAGTGAAAGTCAGACTAGGCATGCCTATGTCCGCATCATCGATGCAACGGCTGCTAAAAAGATGATATCTTCAGTTGTTTTACAGGTTAACCACCCCATACATGCGTTTTCTTCGCAACCAGCCGTGCCATTTTGAACTCCATCGACCCATTGTACTATGTGAGGCAAAAGTTGGTCAAGCACAGATCTCCTGTGCAAGCACCATTAGAGGGGCGCACGTAAATAACTCACGGAGGACCCTTGACCAGAACCAGGTATTGCTTGAAAACCGACAAAGCAAGTTTATTTCCGTCAGTGGCGAGACAAGGACCACGTCCATCCGATTGGTAGAAATAGATGGCCTGGAGGAAAACAAAGAAATTGAGAAACGTTACATCCATTATCACGAGAAACAGTCGGTCGTTCAAAAAAAAACGCCTGAGTAGCTGTCTCTGTTACAACTCAGAAGTGTGCTAGCACGGTCCATACGCTACGTTCCATGTTCCGTTACCGACAGTTCAAACAAACTGTAGGATATTGTGTTGGGAAGTACACCGTTGTTCCCCCCGGGGGGCGTGCGCTCGAACTGTTTCCCAGAAGAACGCAAAATGGTACGGTCCCCGATTTGTCTGCATTAGGAAACACCGTACCCCGAAAGGAGATATCAACCAGGAAGGTGCATTCCGTACACAGGCTATCCCAGACTCAAACTCACGACTCCAGATGCTTGATCAGGACGATAACGAGGGCCATCCATGATTCGGACGCCAGAAACACTATCAATGTCATTGCATCAATTCAAAGACACCAACCTCAATATTCTATCTATGGGCAATACGAAGGATGTAGCTCATGGAACTTACACAGTATGACGGGTGTACATGCGTTGAAGCACACCAAATCGTTCAGCTGTAGCACCCTTTCGGTGCCTAACTGACATAACACCCGAAGGTTGCACGAGGGCTGGGATACTGCCAGGTTGTCCAAGCCTAGACAGGGGAAGTCGAGTTCTAAACACGGACCTTCCGGTCAGTAAATTCGCGCTCTAACCACCAAAGTGCACGCAAGATAATTTTGTTTGATGAACCACTGAGCTTCGCGGTCTAAAACCTGAACTGAATTGTATCAGACACACCCTTCGACTGGAGCAACCTTGAGCCGCCGTCTCAATCGGCAGTGTACAAGACTAGCTTAAAAAGTATGCCTATCATCAACCTGAAGGTGCATTGTACTCACAAACCCTGCCGGAGAAGATATGGACGAGACTCTTATGAGCCTGGTTCCACAGAACATGAACCAAGTGCAGGTTTCAGTTTCAGTCTATCCTGGAATTTTCTCTGATGACCGTGTAAACACAACGGTGAGAAAACTTACGTAGAAATCAACGATGTACTGGAAAATTTTACAGAAGCGGTGGGAAGATGGCAGCCTACCCTGAAAACTAAACGAGCGAAAGCGTACTCCTAGTTTCCACTTGTTCTACTTAATTCGACAAATTTTTCACATTCACTAAACAGTGTGAGTGATAACGAAGGCGTTGGTGACAACCTCCACTTTCGTAAAGGCAAATTAGTACAATGACCCATCAATGTACCCCTTCCCCTTTACTCCAACTGCATAGAGAAGTGCTAAAAAACTAGGCTTCAGAACGTACGACCAGCTTATCTCCATGACAAACATCAAGCAAGACTGACAGAATCGCTGTGTAAAACAAATCTGTCACTTCACCTCACTTATAGGAGAATGCTACGCCAAAAAATCGAATTCAACTGTCTTAGCCTTGCAGAATTTTCAAGTTCAACGGCTCATACATGTATTCGACAATTACTGATGCCCCAACAGATATGTTCCAAGTTTCTGGCATATAAATTGAAATATAGGTGAAACTAGCGCATCTTAGTGGAAAATAAAAACACAGAGTACTCTTCTCAAAAGAGAAGAGCACAGGTCATGTGACAAATAGAGCACGGAACTTGTGTTTGAGAGGCTATCAGAAAGGGTCAGACGTGGGGTGCACAGTGCGACGAAAGGTAAAAGAATTTGCACACACAACTTACATCTCGAGAAGCAACAGCAAACTGAAGATTATCAGGAGTTAGGCTGACAATTGAAGAACAGTCGAATGAGGCACCAAACCGATCGAGCACGGTCTGAGGGGAATGAGAGATGCAATGGTCACACAAATGAATGAACCAGACTGCGAATAAACCGAACAATGAAAGCCGAACGAGCCAACTGTGTGTTGCCCCGTGAGTATATGCTAAGCGTGCATCTCCTGGCGAACTCAAACTGCTTGTTAAGTAGGCCTACTTTGAGAAATGCCGGCACTTTTCGCAAGATGTCCTGACAAAATTATTGGACTGCCCCCGTAGGACTCTTGCTGTCTCGATAGAGATCCAGTGATGACCGGAAGTCAGGCTCACGTGACCTGACTAATGCACACCTCTTCGGGTTTTATGCCAGAGTTTGAACATTCTCTTGCGACACTCAGCCATCGTTTAATTTCCACCGAGATACTTAAAAATCTTCAATAGTTCACTTTACGAACAATGCCGAGGCACCATAACATGAAAAAGGTGTAAAATTGGTAGATAACCTGGTCCTCTCTCATGAGTAGTGCGGTGATAAATGATGCAGTTTACATGTGGCAAAAAACCGCTGAGCAACCCTTCGGTGCACAAATCTAATACAACCCGACCATAGTACTACAAATCCGCCAAAACCCAGACGGCAGATAGCGTAAACCCACGTGATGGTTCGGACCACGGCGTATACTACTGGTGAAACGAGCGAGCAATATCTGGCCAAAGCGGTTTAAAACACCGGTAGACAAAACATTCGATAGACTAACAATTGAGGGAAAAGGGGACAAATCCTAGTGCCCGTTTCAGAGAAACCATGCTAATCAGCAACCAGAATTCTACTGTGTGGATTCTAATAGTGTTTGGGAGCGAGATGGCTCAAGTGGTTAGAGCGCGAATTTACTGACCGGAAGGTTCGTGGTTCGAACCCGACCTCTGCCTCTCGACTTCCCCTGTCTAGGCTTGGACAACCTGGCAGTATCCCAGCCCTCGTGCAACCTTCGGGTGGCACGGCAGCTAGGCACTGGAAGCTGTTACAGCTGAAGGATTTTTTCTAATAGTGTTTGAGCTGTCACTGGCACTCGCTGCTATAGGAAATATATAGCAAGCCAACAAGACAAATCAGCCGGTTTCCCTTCTCATCAGGAGCTGGGTTTTTTCCGTCATCCGAGACTAGCTAGCTAGCGGTGCTAATATCAACTTAGCGGAAAACCCTTGGTACATATTGATGAGTCGAATGTACGAGCAAATTTGAGTCCGAATATCCTCAATGAAGACTGGCTATCAACGGCATTCGGATTCTGCATATTCCCGTATTCTGACATTCACACCTAATACTGGGGTCTCCGACAATATGCTATGTATTAGACAGTAATCGATAACCAGTCAGCTTTCGGTGCCTAACTGTCATGCCACGCGAAGGAAGCACGAGGGCTGGGATACTGTCAGTTTACCCAAGCCTAGACAGGGGAAGTCGAGAGGCAGAGGTCGGGTTCGAACCACGGACTTCTGGTCGGTAAATTCGCGTTCTAACCACTTGGTCCAACTCGCCACCATGCTATGTATTATCATGCGCACCACTGCATACGCTCAAAAATCAACGTCAGATCCCTCCTTCTATGCTTTTAGTTATTCGAGCAAGCTCAAATAGTCATCCTGTTTCCTTGCCGGTCCTTCTGGAATGATAACTTCCAGTCTTTTTCTCCCTGGTGGGCTTTAGCCTCACGGTCTCTATACTATCGAAAGTACTACACCATCAACATGCGGATAACCATTAACTGATCAATCACGCCTAGAAGTTTTTTTCCTAATAAAGACGGAAGGGATACCAAGTCGGCGATCCAGCCTGCGTCTTGAAAGGTTCGGCAAGCCCTGACAGACATCTGTCTGATCTGCTGCAGATGTCATCTGAGGATAACCCTGATGCATACATCGGATCGCACGTCCAAGAGGTTTTTACTGATGAATAGCCTATTTTAATTTTTGTCTGACTGTTAGAGCTTGCAATATCAGACCCGGTGAAATGCCTTAGTGTAAAAGTGAAGGCGAGTCGACCATTTTGGTCAGCTGTAATAGCTACCGCAGTTTCGTCCCCGATAAGGGGTAGGTAGCTGCGGGAGCTGATAAATTGGTGCATAAGGTCATCCGTTCGTGTGCAATACTTTAAAACTGAAGATACAGAACCACCAAAGAGTTTGTTGAACTGCATGAGACTGTCTCCCTACACCTAATTGTCACCCTCAAACCCCACACGACACAAGTTAGGGTATGAGGTTTCATCTGAAAGAGTTTTTTCTAAGTTGGACGTTATCCAGGTAGTGTTTCAGTCCTCGTGTTTTCTACAGGTAAGTATCCCCCCCAAAAGGTCACAGTTGCGAGAAATCCCGACTGCGCAAAGTACACTAACTCACTTTGGACAACACTTCGTCACGTCGACCGAGAACAAAGCTCATGACACACTGTTCCGTCGTTGCAAACACAACAGGACTTTGTAGTTCGGCTGCTCGACTGCTCCGGGAATCGGAAACAACGGAAAGCTTGGCCAGCGGTTGCTTTGGGCCAACCAACTGTAGACCCAAACCAGTGACGGGTGTGTTAAAAGTATGAAGGAGGTATCGTTTGCACTGTCTGAAACATAATAAACAAGTGCCTGACTAAGAACTTGGAAGGCGAAATAACCGTGCGGTAGAAAACGAGATCCAGGTAGGAAGAAAGCGCCGGTTACCTGTTGCACTGAGTTTCGATAGGGCGAAATTGTTACCACCAAGGTTCCAGTAAGCGATGAAGATGGCACTCGAGCGATGAGGGAATCGGGCTCAATTCTGAATCGACTGATGCTGGCAGCATAAATTGGTGGAAGATACTGAGACCAAGTGCACGAACGAAAATGGCAATCCCTTTCTAGACGTAACAGTGTGGAATCTTGCGCACCAATCACGACCAATCTGGAGGGAGTCAACTTCGCCGATCACATCATACCACTGTTCCCCATTGGCTACCATCTAGTGAATGATTTCCCCGCTAAAGGAGCAAAATACATCTTCCTTTGTGATTAAACATGGATGACTTCTGTACTTGAGGTCACCCTGATGTACCCTCCAACCAGTGTATGCAGCTTTTCTCAAGCGAGGTTCGTCGATCGAGTCAAGTGGGAGTACTAGACCGACACACAAATCCACGTACTCGGTAACCTGAGTTTACTGCAATGTGACACATTTTTTTTTTTTTAAAAAATTTTCCCTGAGTTTACTGCAATGTGACACAGTCTGTTTTTTTTAAAAAAATTTTCGACCAGTTTGGGGAGAAGAAACTGAACTAGCGTTAGAAACGGGCGTCACACGCCGGAGGAGCACGCAGCTACAGATTCCTGACCAGACAGTTGTGATAACACCGGCGGTTGGACTCGGATAGTGAAAACTTGGCACCTAGCAAGTGTTTCTGCCTCCTTCACTGGGTATATGATCGCCGTACATGACCAATTGAAAGCATCTTGGATTAAAACATCTAGTCCTGTGTTCAGTGAACAAGTGCTGTTTTATAGTGTGAGCTAGAGAAGATTTGCGTAGCGAGAAAACGGCACTCCGGTACAACCGGTGAAACTCACCTTTCACGGCTGATGTCACCCTTGAATAATTGCAAGTGTCCTTGAACGTGACCGAGGAGAATAAACTGAAGTTGCTCGTCCACAAATAAACAGGAAACCTGTGAAAACAAGTTGAAACGAGGATGATAACGAGGATGACGAGGGACAAATTGAAGGAAACAGAAGAAAGTTTACTCACATGACTAGGAGCTTGTCCGGGCGGTTCTGTAGTTGTTGTTCGACAACAATAGGGTGTCGGTTTATTCAACCACTGAAAGGAACGTGTGGGAATGAGAACTGGGGCCTAGTTTCCAAAATACTAAAAAAAAGGTATGTCGAGCAACTCTAAGTGGGTCATCGTTTAGCGGTAAAAGGGAGCGGGAGAATGACAGATGGTTTTTGACAAAAATGCCTTGCCTAAAGTAGTGCTGTGGATTGTGATCACTTGTGCTACACTAAACGAGAAGATCCAACTGACAGCTGAGTTAGGTCAGGCGAACGTGCGCCAAACCACCATGCACGCACCACGTATTGGACGGGAAACGAGATATCTGAGAAGAATAGCAAGATACATTCAAAGCTTGCAGCTAGCAAGATGGGTATCGACGAATGGTCGGAAAGACAATCAGAAGTTCCTTTTGCGCATGCTTCAGTAATCTAATAGCCAAAGAACAGGAGATCAGTAGCAAACAGGGTATATTCCCCCGGTGAACAATAGGCTGGCTTCAAACTACAACCAACCACAAGAATTACCGGTATGCCGTGGTAGTGCTTTTTCAAGTATTCGGCAGCACGTATTGAATTCTTGATGTCTTAAATACCAATGGGGAAAAACGACCCAATGACAAGTATTCAGCTTCGTTAGTGGGAGGTTGGAATGCACTTTTTGCACAGGCACTCCACCCGTCTTGATCACAATTTCCCTAAATCACGTGATCAATATGGCGTTCAGGTCTAACAGCCCTTCGGTGTCTGGTTGCCATGCGAATCGGATGAAGCAAGATGGCTGAGATACTGCCAGATTGCTCAGGCCTAGACGGGAGCATTTGAGGTGCCAGGGATTACCTGGGGTTTTAACAAGTCTTGGGTAAAGTAATTCGCACTGGAAAGTCCGTGGTTCGACAGTGAAGCGCCGGTTTTCAAAACCGCGTTTGAAGTCACCGGTCATGATATCGGTGACTCTCCTCTGCCTAAACCTGACCGGCCTGACAGTATCCTAACCAGCATGCGACAACAATGAGCTGAAAGGGTTTTCAAACTGATTTTCTGGCTGGAGAGTTATATTTGCAAGGCAAAATCTTTCGAGGATTGCAGCCCGCGTGCATCCGAATGGACAGGTAGAGCTAATGTTACCACACGTCCAACCCGATGAAACAATGCGACGAGGTTATTTACGCTCAGAGTACATGAAAAGGCGCAACCCCTACTAGATAGAGCATAATTCACCGGAAGAGAACGGTTCATTACTTTGAACAGACGTGATACAATACTCATAAGGTTGCTGGAAATTGTTCGACACCCCACGACGGGTTTCGCCCTTTTGGGGGCTCATCAAGTAGACGCAGTCCGCGCGTTTCCATCAACCTTATGTTCTACGTGAACCCGAATTGCACAAAATTAGTGAAATACCAATTGGGTTTTGACAGGAGATTGAGTAGAGTCCATCAGCTGGGTACCAGGTGAATCTCCCGTCAAAACCGAATAGGCATGGAAATGAGTGGGTTCAATACTTTGTTGTTTTACTTGCCACTCGTGTAAACAACCTCGGTTTTCCTAACAATGAAAACAATTTTTAGATCAGACCATTTGGTCTCCCTCTGTCAGGAAGGTCAGATTCCTGCGAATAATCTCAGGCTGTGCGAAGCCTACTGAGACCTTCAAACTCCACCAAAATCTCAATAAAGAAGCCGGTACGCATCCAGGCCAGTCAATCAATAAATCAATTCCCTAACACCATAGATCAATGAAAAGTGTCACTCAACTAGTGCGAAAACACTTGTAGTTTCTGCACTTGTTTGTTTGCAATACAGGTGTTGTGAGGGAGTGTTCACCCCAAATAATTAAAATTAGATGTTCTCCCTAACAACATGTGTCTGTGGTCGTTTGATCGATCCAAGTGTCAGCACTATATGGTGAAGATCACCGTTCCCACTACTCCGACAGTAAACCGGCTATTACTTCCGATGTAAGAGTTCAACCGACATTAAGGCAGTCACATAACTGGATAGATCGAAATGGTGATTTACCTTTGCAGTGTTCCACACCTTGAGTCGCTCTTCGCCCAAGTCATCTAACTAAAACAGAACAGGCAGCGACATTTTGAGTTACGAAACCATCAGACACAATATAATCAAAGGCGAACAAGACAATACGAAGGAGATTAGGAGCGGCATTTCATTTAAGACTTACTCCCACCGTAATTAACAAATCATGTTGCTTGGACTGATGCATAAGGCGCACTGATTGTGCATGAGCCTTGAAGGAGGTTAATTGTTGACTTCGGTCGAATCGATGCACAGATCCGGTGTCATCACCGATCCACAAGAAACCACGACCAGAGGTGGTGCAACTGGGTCGAATATCCTAGGAGTGAGAGGAACAAGGAGCGGAGTAAGGAAGCGGAACTTCAAATGGATTAGCAAGATTCCTGTGGTTCTTGGCTTCAAACAAAGAGTAAATCAAGAGAGTTTACAACTCCAGAACGTCCACAACAGCGCTTTCGTCAGATATGACTTGGTGTGCGACTCTGGATCAAAGAGATCCCGGACGAGCTAAACACACATCTCCCGCGGGGTTGGCTAAGTATTGGGAATCAGCACAACCATCAAAAGACCCACAACCCAAGCCCAAACACTTAGGTCATGACAATAAGAGGGCTTTGGTGTTGATTTATACTTTTTGATGAGGTGATTGACACCAAAAGCATGCAGTGGAGAGGTTAACCTGGGAGATACTACCGACCGAAAAGGGTGTGTAATGCAATAAATCTCCTTTGGTGTAGATATGGTCCAGAAAGAAATGGGCGTGCTATGAGTATGATCATCTAGTCGCGGAGAGTATACGATGCCTGCATGAGCAACAATTATGTGAAAATCCTCTGGAATTATGATGCGAATTATCCCTAGCGTCAACATTTTTAAAGACTTCTTTTGCTGAGAAAACAGAGTCATTTCATAATTACCGATGCCCCAGACAAGCATATATGATAACACAGAGTATATGTTATTAATGTGAAGGGGAGCAACCCAGCCAGACAGTGAAATTAGTCAGAAATAAGACCTAATACCAAGTAGGTGAACCATAGCCAATGAATCGGTTCGGATGCGGTTTACTTCGGAGTTCAAAGTTACGGCTGGTGGATCAGCTATCTGTTATCTACAACTCTCCCCCGTCGCCTTCCAGAACACGCTTGACCGAATAAGGGTGGGAGGTAAATTCCCGAAAAGAAAGATGCGTCAGATATACAGAATACTTCCAGACAGGTTTGCACCATGAGTACTGTTCGTCGATAAATTTTCCAAATAGAATGTGAGTGGTAGCTCCTGTGTTGTTGTAAGGCGCGATTTCTAGGTTGGCTGCATAACATAACATGAGTATTCATCCGTAGCCGACTAAAATCGAATGAATCTCGAAGGCTCGAATCACGTGTGCTACTCTGTGTCACTGGTAGCATCAAAATCATTGGGGTCTCAATCGGACTGTCTACCGGGCTACATTAGGAATTGTGTTTCTGGATTGGTGCGACAATTGGTCTCTGTGGACAGATGGTATGGGGAGTCTTCAGGTTTTTTCCACCGACGTCCCTGAAGTGTTGCCCGGATCGAAGGGCGTCAACGAACGAGGTAGACAGAAAACGGGTAGCTGGTTGTGCAGCAGGTACTTTAGTCGCGGAAAACATCCAACACCATCAACTGTGGTGGCGTGGCCATGTGCCACACATGCCGAAACACCATCTCCCGAGAGGAGTTCTGTCCCACCAGAATGGCATGAAGGGTGTGGAAAGGATTCTGAAGAGCTTGAGTGATGTTGGCGAGGTCAGCCTTGCAGTTTGGGTCCCCATAACCTTTCACCCTTATGATGAAGTGTCATTCTAGAGCTCTAAACCCAAGATAACAAGCACAAAATGATCGGGCACCCATGAACATGCGATCTAATCAATCGTCTCATACGGAATTAGCCGCACGACTTAATGATTGAGCGTGAGTTGGCCGATGTGAGCCATGTACAGTTTCTTGGCCAGTACTGTATTTAGGCTTCCTGTGGGCTCTTTCCTCACAAATCTAGATATTCGGACCGTTGGCATATTTCACATTCTATAGTTTGGTTGCTCGCAGGCGAGTTAACGACACCTGAAAAAGAGCAAACGTTCTCCAACACACAATGGCTAGCAAAACTGTCATTGTTTTTGCCTTATTGTTCCATATCTCACTCCAGGTGATCTCTATCACTGCACGGGTGGCCTAGCCAGCAAATCGAATAGATTGTTCTCTTGTTCTTTTATTTAGTGTCTAGTGGGGTATGCTCCCCAGGACGCCTATGTCCAAATCTACCTTCAGTTGAATCGACCTCGGGACATAGCGGGTGTGGAAAAGTAATTAACAACGGTATAGCCAAAATATGTTTCAGCCTAGGTAGTAACTCAACGATCAAGGTACTTACATTGAATCCTGTGAAAAGATCTGGCAGCGATGCATCACGAACTGTGAACTTATCGAAGAAAAACAATCTGCGGGACTGAAGAAGTATGGTTACAGTCATGTTTAGACGTTGGGTAGAAAACTGAGCGAAAATGTTGGAAAAAAACAGCCTCATGATATAGGAAAGGAAAGGCTTGCTTCATGGAGTTATTTCAGAATATGTACGGAAGTAATTAGAGGAAATGATCTGTACTAATAAAATTAATTGTTCATCTGACACCTTTCCGGTGCATGCTAACCGAACAGGACACCAGAACTGGGATACCGCCAGTGTGCTCAATCCTATACAGGAGCAGCTGAGATGCCGGAGTTGGTCTCGAACCACGAACTTTGTGGTCAGTAAGCTCGCACTTCAATCGCGGAACCCATTCCAGCTGAAGGCGATCTACCTAAACAGTCAAGCGAGAAATCGTTATTTTTACTGCATGGTTTTGTGCAGGGCAGATGGGCAACAGGTCAATGGTACAGGAACCAGACTGCCTCCGAATCCTTGGTACATATCATCCGATCACACCGCTTAATCGAAGTCTTTATCAAAAGAAGCCAAACACACAATCGCTCTTTCAGCGACAATTTCGTGTAGCTTGTCTAGCTAATTGGCTTAGTGCTCACTGGGACAATGGCCAAACGAAGAGCAGCAAAAGATGGACGATGGAGTCTAGTTCAAGAACAGTTCCATGATACGACAGCTACATTGAAATCCCGTATCTCGGGATACTTGGTGAATCAGTTAGATACTACGGATACTTCGCAGGTCCGGGCTTGAGTTGGGTAGTGGTACCGCAAGCTAGGCTGACTGGAACTAATACGACGGCTTTGGGAATAGGGAAATGTTTTGCATACCGTCCGTTCTGTTCAAACGTGGAAGTGAAATCCTCAATCGGTGTTTGTCTAAATTAGTTACCTCCATATGGGAGAAACAGACTGTCCCAACTAAATCGGGTGTCAAGATTGGTGTCGATTTTCGAAAACAGCACTTGCAATGAGTGTGATAATCACATAGAAATTAGCTTCATCCCCGCCGAAACCAGACTCATTGCATTGCTTATTTTTACGGCAGTGAAGCATCAGTGCCAACACTGATGTTGCTGTCATTGATGATGACGATGATTACTTATTTCGCGTCGTTTTACAAAAGTGCAAGAAGACGGACTCCAAGAACAAGCAGGATTCCGGCCAGAAAGGGGCCGGGTGGACACAACTCCACACTCCGTTAAGTGTGAGTATAAGTGCCCTAAAATCCCGGTGTTCCTTGGCTTCAACAATGCACAGGACTCCGTCGGTCGGCTAGTGCTTCTCAACACGCTTGCGCAACTGGGTATTCCCCGAAAGTTCGTGGATACTATGCACTGTGTGTATTCACATACATATGTGTCAGATTGTACGGGTGGCTCGGCAAGAGCTCTCCTACAAACATTGGTATCCGACAAGGGTGCTCAGTCTCTCATCTTGTTAAATTTCGTTGCTAATAAGACAATGAAGCGAAAAGTGGAAGTTCTCGAAAATCCGGTGTTCAGATCTCTCGAAGTGAGAACCTGATCAACCTCTAATATGCAGACATTGTTGTCATTTTTGAAAGCGAGCAAGAAGCACAAGCACTACTTGAAAAGCTGATGAATGTCACCCAGTCCTTCGGGCATGTACTTCGCACCCAAAAATGCAGAGTTATAATACAGGACGTAGTCTTTGAACATGCCACTGGGATGTCAAGGCGTGCTGCTAGAGGTTGCGGAACTTCCGCATCTTGGAAGTTGTATTAGCTCTGAAGGTGGTGTGGTAAAATAAGTTGACGCAGCGATCTGAAGGCAAAAATTGCATATGTTGATTCGCGCCAACTGTTGTACCAAAAGTCATCCCACTGGGCCTCAAGGGATGCGGCTATCAGACTACAGTACGGGTTGTATTGTACAGTTGCAAGAATTGACCATTTAGAATGGAGGATCCGGGGGATCTTCAGGCTTCTGATGTAGAGCTGGAATCAGCGAGTTAGGAGATGGGCTTTTGGTGACGCAGGAAAGAACTCCATCAAACAACACATCCAGCACTGCAAGCTGGGACATGTGCTACGCATCCCGAGCCACCATCTACCAAAAAGAGCACTGTTTCCGTGCCTGACTCGGAGTAGCGGAAACCTAAAAAAGCGTTCAGCTGTAGGAACCTTCCGGTGCCTAGCTGCCATGCCACCCGAAGGAAGCACAAGGGCTGGGATACTGCCAGGTTGCCAAAGCCTAGACGGGGGAAGTCGAGTGGCGGAGGTCGGATTCGAACCACGGACCTTCCCGTCAGTAAATTCACGCTCTAACCACTTGGGCCATCTCGCCCCCACCTAGCTCTGCACGGCATTTTACACGGCAGAAGGGAATGTATAATGTGACGAAAATTTTCGGCGATTCGGTGTTGTTCGCCTACTATGATGGGGCGCACGTGGTGCTTCCTGTGCTTGACTGGAGACACTGGACGATATGGTAGCTAATCGGTGTTTATGACTTTCAAGCTGTCAGTTCATATAAACATTGTCAGACCGAATGTTAAAGGTGATCTGTTTGGCTCAGGCCATGTGGCGGTACCTTTGCCTTTGTGCGCCATTCGAGTTGCATAAAGTAGAATAAGTAGTAATGAAGGACCGGACACATCAGTCAGACGTAAATATTAACTAAAAAGCAATTCGCATTTACAAACAAATGTGCCAACAAAGTGCGAGATGGTTATCTAATTTTGAAATAAAACCACCAGTAGCATTTGTCTTATGAGCACTATCGACTACGAAAACCCAAGCCACAGTCGGGAATACGGGCATTCGGCAACTAAAACGAGCACCATTGAAAGCCTGGATGAGAAACTGAGATTAGCTTGCGAAAATGATGTATCAAGCAAATTAGTGAGAGTACTTACATAAGCCATGGCGTCAATCGGCTCCACGAAATCTAAAATGGGTGAGAATAATTTATCAAAAGCTGTGAGCTAAAGAAAGATGGACTACCCTCAACAGTAGCAGAGGTCTACAACCTGAAAAATAACAAAACCGCAGATGGGTTTATATCCATGGTGGACGGCTCACGATTCCGTCTAGTGATACGAACAAGTACTCAGTAGATATGTTCGTAGAAGTACGAACTTTATGTAGTTTGCCACTGGTCTACGTAATCAGTCTTGCTCGTGCAACTCGCGGAAAGTGATAAACATTAAAGAACGGTTCGGCGGAGAAAATCCCAGCTGCATTCACAATTGAATCCTTGCACTCAATTTGCCTGTAATTATCATGTAGGGATTGTCTTACGAGTGAAATCCATCTTCCAAAATCATAAAGCACCATAATGGCTTTGAGTAACCATCCCTAGCTCTCATCAAAGTGCACTCCAAGGGATCGCCACCTGAACGGCATCTGCTGAGGAATTTCCTACCCTAGGGGCAGAAATCTTGATCAAAATGGGTAGGATCCAGTGTTCAGGGCTGAGACAGAGGGTAGAAGACAGGCCAACCGATGCTTACTCAGGCCATGTGTAAAACTACATAAAAATAATTTCCAGTGCGGGCCAACGACGAAGGTCACTTCACTATGACGACTGCTTGACAGCGAGCGGCTCGTGAGTGGGTGTGTAGACTAGAGGTGTAGCGAAAGGCCTAAGAGGCCTCCAAGTACCTCAATTCGGATGGGTGCCGTGGAAAACAAGTGGTGTCATCTGCACCCACAGAATTGCCACTGAGCAGCTGTCGCGTTCTAGCGAGAGGGATTCAAGAGCCGGTGTTAGGCACTGACAATTTCAACCAATTTATCGACTATAAACCGTGTACCATAGGCACATTGGTTGCAGCTGCTACAGTTTCGATCACCGGAAAACTGGAGTGTGGTACATACAACTAGGCATTGGAGGCGAAGGCATGTTTAGGGTAGTTTGCACTTTTGAAGTGCCTGAACCAAGGAGAGCAGCATCGTCCACATACTCAATGTCTATGGTCGAACTTCCCGGGGGCTATTCGCCTCCCGAAGGTCCCCAGGCTTCGGAAATTTCAAGTAGCACATCAATCACAAAGCTGAATAGGAAAGGTGAGATTACACGACCTTGTCTTGCACCAATGGACGCGGTGATGTGCCCACAAGAGTTCGCATGCAGTGCCCCCGTATGGGATGTAAATTCGGAAAGGGCAATTTTAATCACCAGCCACGGACACAGTTTCTTACGACCGATATAATCAAAAGCAGCTTTAAGATCAACAAAACACCCAGTGTCCGAAGGAGTGGCACTGTTCAAAAATTTGTCCCAAGGTAAACATATGGTCGATGCATCATCAACCAGGGTGAAACCCAGCTTGATTCTCGAGAGTCTGTCTCTCCCAACAATCGATCAGCCTGAGCTAAATAATATCAGCGGGCACCTTAGTATGACGAATACCAGGCTAATGCTACAATGTTTTTTCGTGACGTTCTTCCACCCATTTTGAAAACTGAGATGATGGTCGAGGAGCTCTAGTCGGCTAGTATTGTTTTCATTCCAAATCTTCTGCCATATAGTGTCCATCAGGACCCCGCTACGTTCTTTAAAGAGCGCGAGATACACACAATCCGCACTAGGTGCCTTGTCATGCTTGAGGATTGATGGCTCACGCTTGGATTTCTGTTGTTGATTACGTATTGGTGTTGACGTTCCACTCAGGCCCGCTGGGTTATACCACCGGTTGTTTTGAAGGGGATCGAATGAACTGTTTTCGATGTGTTCAGACCATTGTTCAAGAAGACGATTGAGAGAGTGAAATGCTGTTCCGTGTTTTTCGCATGTTGTTTCACTGACACCTATTAACAAATAATAAAAAGATAATTCGGCTGTAACACTCTTTTGGTGCCTAGCTGTCATGCCACCCGAAGGAACCAGGTTGCTTAAGTCTAGTAAGGGAATTGGAAAGGCAGAGGTTGGGTTCGAATCATGGACGTTCCGGTTAGTAACTCCGCGCTCTAACCACTGAGCCATCTTGCCCTCCTCAATGACACCTGCTTTCTTTTGATAGGTTGATCGAATCAGGTGAAATAGAGCGCGGCTAGTGCAACGAAAGCCACCTCCATCTCCTAGTTTTACAAAATCCGTCGGCTTCATTTTTCAAGCTCCTTGTTATCCGGTGTTTGACGGTTCCTGGTGCGTTATCATAGTCGCTAAATGCCGGCATGGTCATTCTAGCCTGTCTAGCAGCAGTAAGATCCCAATGATATCCAGTACTCACTTAGTCGAGTGAGATGGCCTGGACGAAGTTCTGGAACCTGAGGGCATAGCTTCTTTCACTCGCTCCAAGCAGTCTCCGTTATCCGCACATGGGTTTCTACTGGCTTTCTAGCCAGATCAGCTCGATACACTTGAGTTGCTGAAACTTGTCGAAGTTGATCAATGGAACTGTTCTGCTTTGATGCACGCAATACGGATGGAAAGCGAATTGATGAGCGGGCTCGCACAATGGCATGATCAGAGTCAAGCTGCCTATCCCAGAAGGGACGACAATCTTTGACGAACTCCATCAGTAACTGATAACCACGTGGTTCAATTGAGCCAATGACTGCCTTGCTGTTGGTGGCCTCCAAGTAACACGATGTGAGCGTTTGTGTTCGAAGTTAGTACAGACCAGGGACAGATGACGATCAGCACACAACCGAAGCAGTCGTTCCCCATTATCCGTACGCTGGGCATTTACCCTAAATCCAACACCTAATTGAGCATCTTTCGGAATTAATCGAACAACTTGAGCATTCGTATCAGCCAGCAGGACTGTCAGATCCGTCCATCTTGCTTGGCAAACCAGCCGCGATAGATCTCGATAATACCCGTCCATCTGTCTCTCAGAAGTACTCAGACCAATAGACACCGTTTGCCGCATCGATTTGCATTGATCTTAATTGGGCCAGGAAAAGATGACTGCTTACTGAGATCCGGCCAGGCAATCGGTGAGTGGTTTCTCGAGCCAACCTCTAGTACCCCGTTCTCCAGCGGGGGAAAGCAGCGCTGCTGCTCCCATTAATATATACACGCTGGTCGCCTGGGGGAAACACTTTACTGCCTTCACACTGCTACCGCGGAGTACGACTTTACGTCCAGGCTTCCTCACAATGCGATTACTCACAGTACGGTGACTCCTGTTTTCCGTCGTTGGCTTTTGGCTCTCCTGGAATGACTGAACATCCAGGAACTGAGTTCCAGCCAGTATAACCCACAGGATCATTGCAGCATTGAAATCCGATCACCACAAGGTGAAAGCTTTAGGTCGGTTTAGGGCGTGGTGTTCTTTGTCTGGGGAGCTCGAAAAACACTGACTCTAAATCAAAAGTGGTGGGAACACTAATCAGAGCCATTGAGATCACATCTGGAATGAAACAACCATGATGGTGGTACTGCTCAACCGTTTTCCACGTGTTTTCCGATGACGTATTTCGCACGTGGCCGTGTAAAAGCCGGGGGCGTGTAGTCGATCAAATGTCAAGCGGAACTTGGAACCTTATACATGAGCAGGACATGAGACATCAAACCCAATTTCATTGGGTCCCAAAAAACCTAAAAGTGACGACGTGTTACAAAACAACAAACCTTCCTCAGTATCATCATCCTATTATTCATTCCGACCATCGAAATCGAGAGTGAATGAGCTAAAGTTGATGGTGCACTGGGCAACGTCGTATTTTGATTAGTTCTGAAGACGGACAATTATTCATTTCCAAAGCCATCCAGCGTTACCATTCCCCCATAGCCAATCACCGGCTGAACCGAAATAAGAGCACATTTGTGGCGGCGCTTACAGGCCAAGATTTATGGCGTCTTATCCTGAGACGTTAAAAAAATTCTACCTTCAGATTGAGAAAGTCTGCAACAGTACTCCCACGTTATAAGCTACTCATTTGTTTCGTAAGTTTTGTCTATGAAGATATCGGCCATGAAACCGGTCGAGGCGGGGGAAAATACTGTGGAAACTGTCTGACAGATGCAGCTTTTCACTGTGCCCGGAGGCCAACAGCCCTTAATAACCGAAAATCACGTCCATTGTGGGATGTGTCACATGTGGGCTACGGACCAAACAAGGGCATGCTCTGATTGGTCAGAGTATCAGCCAATCTGGATCAAGCACCTTTACCTCGACGCTCCTCGCTCTCCTCTTTGAAAATACTCGGTGATGACCCTATAAATATGGTTGCAATAGTCTTCCATTGTAATGATCTCCCTTTGTCTCCATGAAGGGATATCTGGGGCTACTGTACCTTTTGATATACCTTCAGGAGCGGAGCAAGAAGCTAAGGCCCAGCACAGTGTTGTACCGCCGTCAGCAGGCCACAACACGCTGAACGGGGGCTGCCGCCGAAAACATGCTTTCCGTTCAAGGAGAAAAAAGATGGGAACAAGTTTTTTGAAGCAACCAGTCTATCGGACCAGTTTCCAAGTAAACAGTTTTGGAAGGCAAGTTCGTACAAGTGAACTTAATCTTCCTCTCAGTTGAATCAACTATTCATGTGGGTTCCTGCTGCAAGGTGTTCCCTGCAGCCCGGGAAAAAATCATAGTATTTTCTGTGACCAAAACGATCCAGATAAATCAGAGCAGTGGATCTCGAACTAGACGCTACTACTTTTCTAATCCAAGAAGCACACGTTGCCTGCCTGGGGTGAAATCGACAGACCTGCGCGAAAGGTGAAGTTGAGTGTCCTTGCTGACCGAGCAGCTTGGTACGTGCTGAAAGAACAAATATATAGAAGAACTTTGGGGATGTCGGAAAGTTTTTGAAAACGGTTCGCAAAATGGAGAGTGGGAAAATGACGCTCAAACACTCCCTCACATCAGGTTGGGGGCGAATTTCTCCTCATAGGTGTTGGCTGATCTGCATGTAAAGCTAACCACCGCTAGTCTAGTGTTAAGCTTTTGGGGTAAAGGCCTTAGTTGAGGACAACGATCATCCTCCAGTCTAGATGTGGACATCCTGGCAGTATCACAGCCCACGCATAAGCATGCATTGCACGCTTACAAATAATGTCGTCATGCCATGCAGTCCCATCATCTGAATCACTTCACTTGCGGCATGCAAAGTGGCGGATAATGGAAAACAGACTGCTGAAGACGTCCTCTTTTCTTCTTTTGCACACAGTCCTTCCTCACTCCCTCCTCAGCCGGTTTCTAGCGACATTTCGCAGGCTCATTCTTAAGGACCGACATCCTTTCGTCACCCATCGCCACTAGCTGCCATACAAATGGCTGACTCAGTTGGCACGACCACACACACTTCGAAATCGTCGTCCAAGTTCCGGTGCTTGGTGAGGCTGACAGCCTTGAACGTTCGGAACCCAAAAACGTCGGAAAACGGACTGTTCTTGTACATACGTTGCACCCGTTTTCTACTGACGCGTGCCATCCGTCTGATGTTGAACTGAACATCGGTGTTCGCCCACTTCTAACTGCGAACTGGTGATAGAAGAGCCTCCACTCTTCGTTCTTCTTGGACTGACAACATTTTAAGCCGTCGATCAGAGGGGTTTCCGGATGAAACATTCGCCCATTGCTAGACACCTCTGAGCGGCACATCGATAACCACTGCCTGTTCATTTTATCCTCTGGCGCCTCAAAAGACGATGGCAGTGGTGCACTCAGAGACAGGTGTTATGACAACTTACGTGACTTATAGCCAGTTGCTAAGGGCTATTATGTTGCTGCTTTTGCGGAGGATATGAACGCGCGGGTAAGTAGATTTATCACTGCTGTGGCTCCTCTGGATAGGCTTTTGGAAGCGGAATCCAAATGTAAGGACAACGGCGAACAGCTGTCGAAGTTTCGCGTAGACAGCAGGCTGTTTCTGTATAGTGCCAACTTCCAAATGGACCGGATCCGCTCGGACACATGGCGTCAACCCAGGGCATGTGAGCCAACATCC